GAAAGAGTGGGTAAATAGAGTCAAATAGTTAGAGAATTGGAGGAGGTAGGGGAGAAGTGAGATAGGGTAGATGGTCTGTTGACAGGTGAGGGAGCCTGGGTGGGGTTGCAGAGGGAAGGCGTGGAGGAGGGCATGAGGCACAGTGTTTCTGATGCAAGAGTCAGAGGTACTGCTAGGATGGCTCTTGGCACTGTTACCATTTGGTTTCAAAGAACTCAACAGATCCATCCCTTCTCAGTCGTCATATAACTTTCATTGGAACAACGGGCCAGAGCTATGGGTGCAAACAGATTTAGGAACCCTGATGTCTGAAATCTAATTCATGAACACTCCTGGGTCTTATCATTTCCTGAGAGGAAATAGTCAAAGTTAAAATGACCATTTTGTATGACAATATGTGTGCCAGAGCTATGTGTGGCAATTAACTGGATAGCACCATGGTATTCATTGAACCAACCTTTTTGTTACTAATTTGAAATGCTACTTTTATCATAAACCAAATCCCATATGGCTTTGTGTCTATATCTGGACTCTCTATTTCATTCCATTCTATACCAAACCTCCTGGTATTTGATTGGGATTGCCTTGAATTTATGAATTTATTTGTGAAGAACTGGCATTTCTTACAAAATTCAGTCTACTAAAAAGAGGGGGTACTTAAGCCTTCTATGCCCCTCAGTTGAAGATAATTATTTTTTCATGGAGGTCCTAAGCTTGTCTTTTTCAGTTTACAGCTATATATTTCCCTTTTGAGTTGCTATTATTAGTGGTATTATTACTTTTTTTTGTATTGTAAGTGTGTGTGTGTGTGTGTGTGTGTGTGTGTGTGTGTGTAAATAAGAAAGATGTAGGTGCATTTTCAGATAAGCAATAAAAGAAAGAATCTAAGGTAAACTGAAATTTTTAATAGCATCTGACCTTCACTGAGCTGATACACATATAAATCATTTTGGATAATACTATCATGTAAAACAGAAAAAAAATGTTTATTTTACCTGTGTATTGCTAATTTTTCCTTCAATAAGACAAGCCATGACTGTATTTGGAGTTAAAATGTGGTATCTGTTTAGTCCTGGTCCTACCAGTGAGCTCGCTTTCCTCCTAATACCACACAAAGCGCACCTAGACTCTGGCTCTTTCCACAGAAAAGTAGCCCTGTTCCACGCTGCTGCTTTAATTCATGACCAGACCGTGACCATCGGCTTTTCAGTGTCTCCTCCTGAGGTGTTGGTGGAATAGGCTGAAGGAGCTGCAGCCACAGCAGTCAACCCCCCATAGCAAATCACACAGACAGAGGTGTTTTCACATGATTTGATGTAGCTGGGAGTCAAGAAAGGTTTCAGTTTTTTCTTTTTCTTCATCCCAGTCCTTTGGAACTTTTCAATTTGAAGAAAAACTGAAAACTATCTAACAAATCCAGATAAGGGGTCAGCAAACTTTTACTGTAAACAGCCAGACAGAAGACGTTTTAGGCTTGTGGGCTATATGGTCTCTGTTGCAGCTACTTAACTCTGCTGTTGTACAATGAAATTCGTCATAGACAATAAGTAAATGAACCTGGCTGTGTTCTAATAAAACTTTGTTTATAAAACAAGTGGTGAGCCAGTTGTGGCTCATAGTTCAGATTGGCCTATGGTTCATGGTTTCCAGATTCCTATTTTAGACCAGTATGCTTCCAGACCATTCATTATTTGTACTTCAAAAAATCAAAAGCAATGTACTTGTCCCCATGGAACTAAAGATCACAGGATGCAAAGTATTGGAGTGAACAAAATAGAGCAAAATCATCAAAATGATTTCTTATCAATCCTTAAATGAGTCTGAGCATAGCTAGCCCTTGTTTGCTTTATGAAACACAAGTGGGATCACAGTATATAAAAATACACATATTACATTGTGGTGTGATCACTGCTTTGAGGAGGGAGAGAGAGGTGAATGAAAAAATGTCATTATTAGTAATGCGAACATTTGCTCTTACTTACCAATCCTGTACTGCATTGAAGGATTCTTCATTTGTGATGTCATACATTAAAATAAAGCCCATGGCTCCACGATAATAGGCTGTGGTGATAGTCCTGTATCTTTCCTGGCCTGCTGTGTCCTACAAAATAGAAATAATAACCTGTCAAAAAATGAGGCAATACACCTTCTGAGAAGTGATTAATTATTCCCAAAATAGTCATAACAGAGAGTCTAAATTGTATTTACAATGTATAGCTATATATGTTTTCCAGTCTTGTTTTTTCCTAATGATTTTCATATGGCCGCTCTGCAGTATTATGAGCAAATCTTTTTTTTGGGGGGTTGTAAAGAACTAGCTCAGAGTACCTTCTACATATATTCATTCCCATTAAGGAGCATTTAACTACAGAAAAGAAAAGAAGAAGAAAGATCATACATATCAAAATCTGTGGCTTTTGTAGAGTTTAAAACCAGAAGAGTACATTAGCTCCATCATTATGTATTTACTATCTATCTGCTAAGTACAAGCCTCTGTGGGGGAAAAAAAAAGAAAAGGACCTTTTATGAAAAGGTCCCTGCATTTAAAAGCATGCAATGTAGTTTCCAGTTATTCAATGGTAAAATGACAATTAAAATACCTACTTTGTGTGGGTGTTTGAGTCGGACAGATCTGGAGTTCCCACTCTCCCATTAGAGAGCTGGCGGGGACATGCACAAGCTGCTGAGCCTCTATGAACTTAAACCCCCTAAAGTCTAGCATGCTTGTTAGGGTGACATGAAATAATGCATGGAAAGTGCTTCACTGAGCCTGACACACAAAAAGTGGCCAATAAATGGAAAGAACGGGCTGTTATTCCTGAAATTTGGGAAGGCAAGGCTAACACAGGATGGTAGATGGCAGCTTACAAATTCAGGGGCTCAGGGCCTGCAAAAGAGTCTCATGCAGCAGTGAAATCTTAGAATCAGAGGCAGCTACATCACTGAAATGACCTATATAGGTCACAGATACTGCACAGTGTAGTTGAAGAAATTATTCCTCAATTCAACTAACTCTTGCTCCTTTGTCTTCTCAGGATCTGGGGTATAACTTATAACCCAATGCTCCTTGGCTTCCCCCTTCACCACTTTCCCAGGGGACTGGGCTCTGATTTCTCTGTCCTAGTATTCTAGGTGCTTAGCATTTTAGACAGAAATGTCACCTTCTTTCTGACTTGGTCTGGGTCCTCTTTCTTCCCTTCTCCCAGAGATGCCTCCTTTGTATACAAAGTGCATCCCAGTTCCCCCTAAGGCAATATTAATAGGTCTTGAAGGGAAAACTAATGTGTTGGATGATACAAGAAGTTCCTTTAGCATCAAAATGAAGTGAACAAAGCACCGAGCTGATCTCCCTGTGCTATGCAGCTGCTTCCCACTAGCTATCTATTTTACATTTGGTAGTGTATCTATGTCCATGCCACTCTCTCACTTTGTCACAGCTTACCCTACCCCTCCCCGTGTCCTCAAGTCCATTCTCTAGTAGGTCAGACGCAAGAGGGAAGAGATATGGGAACATATGTATATGTATAACTGATTCACTTTGTTATAAAGCAGAAACTAACACACCATTGTAGAGCAATTATACTCCAATAAAGATGTAAAAATAAAATAAAAGCTTGAAAAAAATAAATGAAGTGAACATCTCCTGGCTCTCACTCTTAAAAGAGGCTCATGTTGGACACACTGCTCCTCACCCTTAGGTACCCTCCTGCTCAGATGCTTGAACTCCACGTCGGACTAACAGTAGGAAACTCAAGAATGCTCACAATTTTCTCCTAATCTGTGTGGTTTATTCTATTTGGCCCCTGAAAGTTCAGAGAATGGTAACCAAAGAAGGCTGAGGAAATCAGCAAATGATTCCAGGAGGATGTGGGCGTGTGAAATAAAACTTGAAAATTAGCAAAGGGTGTGACTGTTCATGAGCAACAATTCTACTCTACACTTGGAGCAGGGATAAGGCTGGCCTGATTAGAGGTGTTTATTAGGTAATATTATTGAAATAAGTTTCCAAAGGTAAGATAAAAACAGGTTATGGTCCCCAAAATAGCAAAAATGAAGCAAAACAAACGAGGAAGTTCTTTCAGAACATACCACTAATTGGAATAAAATAAAAAGGAAAGTCTAGTTTCCACCATGTGAAAATGTGACCATTCCTTGAATATAAAAAAAATGCTATGAAGAAAATTGAAATGATATATAATCAAATGATATTTGAATATTTTACTGTACTTTGCTTAGTATTTTATAAATATGAAGGTATAGATATTAGAGATAAACTTGGAAATCAAAAACTGCATGTAATTGGGACAATCATACAAATTTATTAGACAGAAAGAAGCCAATCTTGAGTTTATTTGGATATTTTTGGATATTCGTTGGATATAATTCCATTAACAGTATATCCAACTGTGAAATGAAGGAGAAAGTTAGAGAACCAAATGCCCAAAGACTGTGTTTAAAAAGCAAGGTATAATTAGAGATTGTGTAATATATTTTAGCTCTCTGGGGAACAGAACCCCTTATAACTAGTCATTCTATTTTAAAACTTAGGCACTTTTGTCTTGGGTTCATATTTTTCAGAATACATTATCTATAAAATTACCACTTTTTTTCCTACTGTGAAGTAATTTTAAATAGCTTTCTTTATCTCTTGGTAAAATATCTTTTTGACATTGACAGAGTAACCTTCTTAAAGGTTAGGGACCCCCTTCCTGCTGCTTTCTCTATACAAAAGACAGCTTTCCCCCAATTTCTCAATAGGAGAAAACAGCCAATATGCCCGAGGCACTGCTGAAAAGGTGACCCAGACCATTCCTGTCAAGCATGTCTTCAATACAGACACTAAATAATGTTGTGTTGAAAAACTATGACATTTTCTCTCTCTTCTTGACCTCTTCCAGTGATGGCTTCCTCTTTCATAAGATGTTAATTTTATTTTGACAGTAAAGAAACTAGATCTAGTGTTATAAAACATATCAATTTCACACTGGAAGTGTATTTAATCTTCAAGGGAGCAGAAATCAAGGTCCCATTACAATATGATTGAGATGTTACAGGAAACCATGGGGTTGGATAGCCATTATGTATCAAAATTTTAAAACAGAGAGAGGGGGGACAAAAACAGCTTTTAAGAAAAAAAAAAAAAAAAAAAGAAGCTTTCAGACAGGACTTAAGTCAGAGCAAGGGGCAGGACCTTCCACAGGATTCTGACTTGAACTCAGAAACACAATCTAATTGGAGGTAGTTGTCACCTCAGAGCTCTCAGGGAGAATAAGAAATTGCACCAAGTAGGGGAAGTGTAGTAAGAAATACAGAGAGGAAATTTCCTTTCCAAATGCAAATAAAATAAAAAGAATAAAACTAAGCTAATAGACACTAGTTGGCTCTGCATTGGTTTTGAGTACTGAAAACAATTTTAAGATTACAAACTCATTAGTATTTTCTCTCCCATTATATTAGGAAGAAAAAGGAGTCAGAAAAAAATACCTCATTACATTTGACATTTACTAATAATGATAGAAGGTTATATTGGAAAGAAAAGGACATTTATAATGTCAAGTGCCACTAACGTAATTAAATGTGAGAATCTCAAAAGGTAACTGACTAAAATGGTACTTCTCAATCTGCTCAGGAAAATGGCTTTAAACTCTGGCTTTGCCTTGCTGCTCTGCCCAGTTGATTCTAATAACTGGAGATACCTGCTGGTTTTCTATAAATGTAGGCTCCTGGTGATTGAAAAACACAACAGGAAATCTTTCACAAAAAAAGGGATAAAAATATGATTTCTTCCAAGAGAGTTAGCTTTCATTTTTCTCTCTTTTAAGAAAAAATAAAATCATCTTAGCTGGCTTAAATATTTTGACTTCTCAATCATGTTTTTAGGAGGAATTTTTGGCTTAAATGATAGGTTTGATTAGCAAATACTTGAATATCTGTCAAAAAAAGAGCTCTAAAATGGAAAACATTAGCAGTTTGATAAGTAGTAGCTAGGAACATTTTCAGTTTGAATTTTGGCATTTTTGTCTGTTTTTGCCTTATGTTTTCTTTCTCTGGTGAAACATTTTATTTTTTTAACTGCATGTAGTGCATTCTCAAACACTTCTGAGGTCACACAGAGATAATGTGCAGTTTTAGGACTGAGGAAATAGCTTTCATTTGTAAAATCTGGGTTATATTGTAATTTGTTTTTGTTTTGGTGGTTACTTCTCTCTGTATTGGATTAAAGGGAAAATGGAAGTAACCATTAGTAAAGAAACATAACTCAAATAATATCACTACCATCAAAATACATTTATTGAATGTCTAGACAGAGAAAAATAGATTGAAGGACAGACAATCCTGATACATGAAAAAGTAGGTAATTTTATAGGTGGAGAAACCAAACTAGAACACATTGGTGTTAACTGATCAACAAAGGTAATTTAATTAAGCTAAAGGAAATAATATGTAATAATCCAAAGGGGAAATCAACAGCAATGTAGGATGAGAACACTGCAACATAAGACATAAAACACCTTTTATCTAGTGAACTTCTAAATAGACACAAATATGTGAAATGGAATAAACACTCGGTCATTTAGCATTCAAGCAAGTAGCAATCTTTTAACTTGTACCTTGCTACCTTCTACCTGTAGGAATTATTTTGAATCATCAAAGGAAGATTAAATTATGCTCAATATAATTTAATATTAATGCTGACTGGTTGATTGATTCATTCATTCAATAAACAATAAGTGTACACCTATTACCAGTTACGGACTGTGATAGATATTTATTAAATTTATTTTATGTATTCTAGACATATTTTTGTATATGTAAAAATTCTGTACTTTAAAAGCATTTCATTAATCAGGATATCATATTCCTCACATGTCTACAAAATATTAGACATGAAATATCATTTCTAAAGAGCCAGACAGTATAGCAATTTAAAATTGTAACTGAGACCATCTGCTCAATGGTGAGGTTCTCCAATTCATAGTCACAGTTATGGGTTGTACTGTGTTCCCCCCCACCAAAATATGTGAAGTCCCAACCCTAGAACCTGTGAATGTAACCTTATTTGGAAATAGGGTCTTGGCAGATGTAATCAAGTTGGGATGA